GTTATTTCTGGGGCACAATGTTAGGAGAATGTATTTGTTGATCACCTACTTACCATATTTTTAGAACTGTGACAATATGATGGACACTGCCTTCAAGGGAGTCACAGTCTAGTGGAGTCAGAAGACTTCTTGGAAAAGAGTTGTCTGGATTAGCCTAATCTGACGCTCTTCTTTTTTTTTTTTAATTTCTTTTCAGCGTAACCGTATTCATTATTTTTGCACCACACCCAGTGCTCCAATGCAATCCGTGCCCTCCCTAATACTCACCACCTGGCTCCCCCAACCTCCCACCCCCCGCCCCTTCAAAACCCTCAGGTTGTTTTTCAGAGTCCATAGTCTCTCATGGTTCACCTCCCCTTCCAATTTCCCTCAACTCCCTTCTCCTCTCCATCTCCCCTTGTCCTCCACGTTATTTGTTATGCTCCACAAATAAATGAAACTATATGATAATTGACTCTCTCTGCTTGACTTATTTCACTCTGACACTCTTCTTTTTGCATGGTTAATATCTCCGAGAGCCGCTGTTCTCTTTCAGACTCAGTAGTCTCTAGGTACCTTATTTCTAGAGTGCTTTCTCAGTCTTCAGAAAGAAGTGTTATAGAGCCAAGGCCCAAGTTACCCAAATGCCATTTGTGATGGAGTTAGGAGTTGGGGACTGTCGAGGTGAAGAAACCTGCAGAAAGATCCATAAGGGCATAAGTCCATGATGCTTAAGAAGTACCAACAATCAAATGAAGTCAGGAGTTACAAACTAGGCAGAAACTGGAATGGAGTGGAAGCAGGCTAGAGATACAGGCGAATGCTGTGGGAAACCTGTCTGTTGCATGCAGTGGCCCTTCAGTGGCGTTTGGGCAGGTTTGTATCAGGATACAGGGTTGAGGCAGACACCAAATAATGAAATCACGGCTTATCTGTTAGGGTAGCTTTTAGTCGCACATAGAAAATTTAACAGGCTTAAACAAATAGGGGTTCTACTTATCTACTCAAAGTCAGTATGTGACAAGCCAAATCCATCACCTTGCTTTCTTCTCCCCTTCTGCCTTTTGCCAAACCATGAGGAGGGAACACAATGTGATGGAAAGACAGGGGAACTGTTCCAAATGTCAGGTCTGTCCGTTAGCTCCCATCTTGTTTCCTGTAACTTGTCGAGGACTCCTGGTTGCAAGTAAAAGAAACTCAACTCAAACTAACTTATTTATAAAAAAAAGAGATTATATTAAATCACCTAACAGAAACATCCAGGGCCTCACGTACCTCAAGCATATCTAGACCCAGGTAGTCAAGCATCATCAGATATCTCTGTCCTCCTTCTTCTGTAAGCTCTGCTCTGGACATTATAGCTTCATTCTTATGTGGGCTCTCCCAACATTGTGCCCATGGATTGGTGGGTCCCCAAAGAAAAATGAATGCTGGAACAAAATTAAGGAAAAATTAATGTCAGGCAGGTAAAAACTACCATTATGATGGTAATAGCACCCTCTCACATTCCACTTGTGATAACGATTGAATGGGAGAATACACATAAAAAGAGTTATATGTAATTAGATGTTATCTCCTAATATACTCAGACTTCTGTCCTCTTTGATGGTTTCCTTTTTTTTTCCCATCCCCAAATTTAGCCTACTTGGGTAATAATGTATTTTGAGGTCATAAAAATTATTTGGTAAGATTTAGGAAATAGTAACTTTCATATAAGAACTCAGATTTCTGACTGTTCTTGATAAGCAGCAAGATCTGGCAATAATCAACTATGCCAGGATGGGGTTCCCCCTCCCAAGGGGCAGGTACTGCCCAATCTGCCCCCAGGCTCACCCTCAGAGACATCTGGGATCCTTCTTCTGTCTTCACAGCCTCATGCCCCACTACTTTCCTCTGGAAACCTCCTACCTTCTGCCTGGTACCCTCATTTCCAAGGCTTTGCCCTTAGGCTTTCCTCATCCTTCTTACTAGTCTAAATCCCTTCTACCCTTCGAGGCTAACTAAAGCACCAGGACTCCCTCAAACCTTCTCTAAGCATCCCAGCTCACAGAGCTCTGTCTTCTAGGCAAGGGCATCTTCTATGTAAGGACAGCCAGTGACAACCAGGACTGCACAAACTGTAAGTCATCAAGTGTCCATGAGCGCAGGAGGGAGCCACTGGCACTGTGAGATGGACAGGAACATACAGAGAGATGGCACAGGCAGGCTCTGACACTAGCTCTATGATAGAAGACAAACAGGAGTTGGACAAGCAAAAAAATTATTGAAAAATGTATTTCTCATGTACTTTGAAATAAGCCTCTGTATTTATAATTCAAAATATAGAAACACACAAGATGTTCTCCTTTACTGCAACCAGCCTTTAAAGAATTATATTGATAGCAAGACTTAGTTTTAGAAATAAAAATGTCAAGGTAGTTGGTGTTCAGGGTTTACTCTGCAGCCTTGAAGGAGACTTGTGAGTAGGAATTGTGGTACAGCTGGGATAAGAAGGCTGAAAAGTGATTCTCCATGATTGAGGGATGAGGTGCTTCTACATTTTGTTTTAATTCCCTCTTTCGGTAAAATAGCATTTGGGGATTGTACTCAGAGAGCTAATAACAGAACAATTTAATCTACAAAGCGGCCGAATGGGAGTAAACAGTGTGTGATGTAAATAGTTATCTGTGATTCAGAGAGTAATAATAGCATGATCTACCATTTAAAAAATATCCAATATAGCAATTTAGATAATAGTGATGTGCCTGACCTCTCATTTTTAACTTCTGAGTTAAAAAAGAATAAAATATAGTATAATATGCTTTCAAATAAGTAAAATTGTTTCCATGTTTGTGGATAGGGATAGTAAGGTAAATATTCAAAAATTAAAAATAGCTTTTGTTTTAAAGAGGTGAGGAGGCTTATAGGTGATTTTAATACACATTTTAAAGGTATTTAATTTTGTCACATTTCTCTGTCAACTAAAAGAGGATATCCACCCACCTGAAGAAAGGAATGCTGTCTTCTTGGTCTCTAGCTTAAGGAAAACTGATAATGTCACTTTCCAGGCACCACAGAACTAAGAGGGGGAAGGGGATGCTTTAAGTGCAAATTCACCTTTGCCCATCTCACTTCGGTTTTGCCCAACATTATTTGGTTCTTTAAAGGCATCACACTGCCCCCCGGTGTTCAATAAACTAAAATGAAAACTCAACTGGCTACTACGTTTTCTTTCCATATTTTCTGAATAATCAAGACGATAAGCAAGAAAGAGAGAACACCTCAATACCACCAAATGTATGGGTGTCCCATGCCTTGTTAATGTTTTATATTTTTAAAATAGCCTTTACGATGCCACTTTTTTTTAAGCCCTTAATGGGCAGGTTTACAAACATCAGGTGCCCTCCAGTGGCTGAACTTGTTATCAGGACTTTGGGAGACCCTAAGCACGTTAGATGATGTAGAAATTATTAACAGTTTCCAAAACTTTGCTACTCCCTAATAAAATGGGTCCCTGAAGAAGCAACAGGACTACCAAACTCTTACAGAACCTTCCTTGAGATTCTGTTTAAAGTACCTAAGCCAAAGAAAAGTAAATAAATAAGGATGTATTTTGAGCAAGCATTGTATAATTAAACAGTAACCACATATAATCCAAAGCAGGACCATATCCTGCCTTAATAGGGTCTGAAGTGTATCTATAATTTGGAGCGCTCTTAAAAAAAATCCTAGAAGTTATCTACTTTTGCAGTTTTATACAAACAATGGAGAGCCCCTCTTAGGGTCTTAGAAGAAAATCCTGGCTTGTAAGGGCCCCTGAAACTTATGTTTCATAGCTTCAGGGGAAATTGGCCCCTGATCCAAAGGTATTGTTTAACTGTGGCTTCTGGACTTTACCTTGAGCATTATAATTCAGAGCCTTAATAAATTAGGGACAAATATAAATTTAGTAACATGGTAGTTTTTTGGTGCCCTTTCTGACCTCTGACCATTGAGAATTGATGCTCTTTGAACCATTCAGCCAAGTAAAAATAAATCAGTTTGTTTATACAGAGACAACTTTGATTGCCTTGATTGTGTTTGGGAAGAATTTAGAAGATCAGATACTTCCAGGAGCCTAGAAGAAAGAGTAGTGGAATTAGTGCAACTATTTAAAACTATTTTAAAAGGCTGAATCTTGAAAATTGGTCTTCATGTTTGGTTAATTCCCAGAAGAGAACTGTATTCACTGATCACCTGTGAAAAACTAGATGTTAATTTCAAAGACTAGAAACCAGTTCAGGTTGAAAAAAAAATTACTTCTCTTTCACAAAGAAGAGCTTTCTATTATAGGAAGCAGAAGACTTTGCTTTGATAATAATCACAGGAAATAAAAAGCTTCCTTGGGTAAAATCTCCACTAGCCACCTAATCACGTGTTGTTTCAGCTTTTTGGATAGTTCATAATACTTCAAGATATTCTGTCTTCTCTGTCCATTCCTTTGTTTACTTATCATATATTACCTGTTTCCTTCCACAGTATGTAAAAATCCATGACCACAGGGCTCTTGACTATCTTGTCCCCAGAGCAGGGCCATAGCATCATGGGATTCCCTTCGCCTCGAGGTCAGTGCAAATGGCACCCTCTAGAGCTGCACTGCAGTCACTGCCAGAGCCTAGGGCTGACCTTGTCTCAGAGTCTCTCAACAAGGCTATATTAGTGCATGAATAAGGTATATGCTAGCCTATTTATTATTCTCATTTGAAACATAGAATGAAAAATTGAAAGGTTTTGTGTCCCATAAATCAAAGTACATTTACATGTGCAAACTAGTTTCACTTTGATGACTTTTTCTAAGATCACTCTTGTAGACTGATTTAACTTAGTCCATGATTGTCAAATCAGTAAAAGAGAGAAACGGTACAGGTCTTCTGATTTCCTGTGTCACATTCCGTGTGTTACATTTTCCGTTTCCAAAGCCAATTCCTTCAGACTTCTTGTGCTTTTCTGAGTCTGTGACCAAGTAGTGACAGAGCACATGCCATTTTGTTTTGTTTTTCCAGCATTCAGCGAGCCTGGCGTGAGTACCTGCAGCGGCAGGACCCTCTGGAGAAGAGGAGCCCGTCCCCGCCCTCTGTGTCCTCAGAGAAGCTGAGCAGCTCTGTCAGCATGAACACCTTCTCGGACAGCAGCACACCTGTGAGTGCCATGTTATCTCTTTATGGCCTGACTGGCCAATCATTTGATCACCAGGTCTTTGGTTCCAAGAAGGAAATGTTGAGATGTGAACAGGTAGCTTGTTGTTAAGTCTATCACTATTGCTCACTTGCTATATTCGAATCCATGGTGAGGGTTTGTCATCTGAGAATGAAGACTTAATTCATAAGCACAATGTGTACTTCATCAAGTTTGAGGGAATCGATTGCACTTGACCTCAACCTAGACTACTCATTTGTGTGTTTGCATTTGTCTATCACTAAGAATATCTTTTTCCTCTTCTTTATAATAGTGTGTTCCCTTTAGTCTGTGCCTCTGGTAGAGTTTTGTTGTGCTAATACGATAGAAGATTAGTTTGGTTATAAGGATTATAAAGAGAACTTTTATAGGAAGAATTCAAACGGGTCACAAACTCAGGAGTTGAAACTCAGATGCCTGCAGAGGCCAGGTAAGAAATCCTTGTGGCTGGGGCGCCTGGGTGGCTCAGTGGGTTAAGCCTCTGCCTTCGGCTCAGGTCATGATCTCAGGGTCCTGGGATCGAGCCCCGCATCGGGCTCCCTGCTGAGCAGGGAGCCTGCTTCCCTTCCTCTCTCTCGCTCTGCCTGCCTCTCTGCCTACTTGTGATCTCTGTCAAATAAATAAATAAAATCTTTAAAAAAAAAAAAATCCTTGTGGCTGATGTGGGCTAAGCTGTGACTGGCTACTGGAAAACACAGGCCTTACCTAATGGGGGAGTCCTGCTTAGATCCTGGATGTGTTGCTAAGCAGGGATGTTGGATAGACAGACACTGCCAAATGTGATTTCTTCTTCTAAGGGATGCCAGAAATTCAGATGTTTAAATGTTGGCAACTAGTAAGAAAATTTAAAATGTGACTAGACCATACCTGCAGATCAATGATCCCAGAGGCCACCTGTTTAAGAACCCTGGTACACAGTTAATGAATGGGAACATCTGCTGAAAGTCTTTATTTAAAAACAACAACAACAAGCAAACAAACATACCAAATGTGGTAGGAAATAAATGATCAGGCAACTGTAATACAGATTGTTGTGAATATGGCCTTTGCAATCATGTATGATAGTCACTGGAATACATAGAAAGAAGTTAGGAAGAGAAATGAAGTAACTATACAAGTGTATTTTTTTTAAATGTTTCTTGACTACTTTGTAATCATGTTTATTCGTGGTTAAAAGGCTCCCCAATGGCCAAAATAATGTATTCACAATGAGGTCAAGCAAAGGTTGCTTTGACATGTTTTCAGATGATTGAATTGCATGTTCCTTAATAAGTGGTTTTGTCTGTTATGGATTCTAAAGAGCAGTAACTTGAGTACAAATAACAGTGGCAGAAGATCTATTTTTAGCGGACAGCAGAAATGGAACACTCAGTGACTTGGTGCCTTTTTAAAACAATTTTGAGGGGGGATGACTTACTTGAACTGGTCTTACGATCGCTAGAGGGCGTTGAGGAGCCATATTGGAAAATGTTGCAGGTAAGTATGAAATTATCCCGTGATTTGCAAGTCAAAAATAACGTAAAATTAAGTGTTTAGGGTGCCTTTGCTGTGAATGACAATAGAATTAATTTAATAGGAATTAAATGACTGAATATTTTATTTGAATGACAGAAACTGAGTATCAGAAATCATTCTGCCTGTGTGTTAAAGGTTTGGATTTATGGCCTTCCGATTTTCTCAAAGCCCCAGTTCCTGACAGTATCAACCATTGCTGGGTCCAGTGATACGTGATGGCTTTAGTGTTGCTTTAGGGTGATTAATTTTTGACTTTATTGAAATTCTGGGATAAGCTACATTTGTTTTATATATACCCTGCTATACCACTTAGATGCCAGCACCTTAAGTATCTTTGTGCATCAATGCACGTTCTTCCCCCATGGGTCATCATATAAACGTGATGTGCAATATCTTTTGTACAGCTTTGCTAACAGTTCTACCTTATTTAATTTAGCCTGGCCTCTAGGTCCCCTGATGTTTCTTAGTAGAGCAGATTTCCTCCCTCCAATGTCCTCAGCAGGCTGGTTTCTTCTGTGTGTCTCAGGATGAATTGGGAGTGGCACCCTGCTCCACCACTGTATCATCATACCTGATCTCTGAGCTCATGGGACCAGGATAACTCTTCATTGTGCTGAAGTCTGGCTCACTCCCGATTGCTTATAAACAGTGAGAATCAAATCATTTTCAGAAAACATTATTGGAATTAGCTTCAGAAAACAAACAGACCCTGCCCAGAATTCTAGTAGAGATTATTAATTATAACAACAACTTTGGCATGGATGACGGCAGTAACATGACACTAAATATGCAAAATAAAATATGAAAATATAAGTGGCTGGAACATCCCCAAGTCTCTAGTTTGTCAGGCAGGTAAAATATCACAATTTTTAAAAACTTTAAGCTTCATTGTTTGGAGCTGGTATGTCTAGTTAAAGTTTTATTTCTCATGATCATCACTTTGTTTGGGACCTCTTTCAGAAGATTCATTCTTACATCTTTTGGTGGTCACAGCCCCATGAAAGGAAAGTGACTCTGCTCTACTTTGATCAGCCTACCACACCACAGGTTCATACATACTTTCAGGGAGTTCCAATAGGAAGACTTGGTCTTACTACTCTCTGACCGATAGACCTCAAGTCATGGAGAGGATAAGGATGATCCCTGGCCCACCTTGTCTGTCATAAAGAGATGAGTTTTCTCTAATAAAATGAGTCCATTTGGAACTTCAGGAGTAAAAGCCTGCAGTCCAGGTCAAATGTTCTCAATGAGGTATCTCCCTGGGGAATTCTCTGGGACCCTAACTCCTACCGTTTATCTCCAGCTTGCTGAACTGAGCCCTCTTTCTCTGGGCTTGATCTGTCACTGTTGTTGCCTACACTATTGTCTGTCTTCTTGAATTTGATCAGCTGCCTGTCTTGTCCCTACTACTAACCTTCTACTGTCCTCTAACACAGCCTCGATTGGAGGCCAGTCTGCCCTTCTCTAACCCGTGGGCCTTTCCAGCTTCGCTGCCTGCCCCATGTCTATAGGAACTGCAGTTACTGCCTATAGGAGCTGTCTGCCCCAGGCATGTGCTGCATGGGAAGCCAGCAACCTGAGCTGGGTGAGTCCCTGTGCCAAGCTGAGAATGATGCTCTTGAATGCTTTTGCTCTCTTTTGGCTAAGCATAATGGTTAATATAGTTCTGAGAGTATTTCTGCTCTAAAAAATATAAGAACAGTAATGTTTCAATATGAGCTCTCAAAGTCATCATCTTAATAAGAGCTGAGCACTTGTGATGTGACAGGCACCTTGCTAATGCTTTCCATGGATTATTTCACTTAATCCCCTCACTGACCATATGAAGGAGGTGTATCTTCAGTTTACAGTTGTTGAAAATGAGACCTAAATAGGTAACTAACTTGCCTTGAGTTACTCATTGGGCTGTAGCCATCATGCTTCACTATTCTACTATATTGTACCACTTGAAAATAAGCCTGCATTTAGACATGGTCAAGCAGAGGAAGAAATAATCTGTGCATCAATGCATTTCTAAGACTATTCTACAATTTTGTAAGTATAAACAGTGAATGAAATAATTGAAAAAAGAATCCTCATTTGATTTTATAAATTGCCTCATTCGATGCTCTTTGATTAAACCTCAAACCTCAGTTGCTCAGTGCCAAATTAAAGAGCAACAGGAGGGAAGATATATATGAAATTATGTTAGTAATTTGCATGTTAAATGTCCTTATACCACAATGTATCATGAGGTAACAGAAAAATTTATTTTAGAGATAACAATTTCGAATAGCAAGTTATTGTGTAATGGAGCTTGTAGGTATCAAAGTGAGAAAAAAAGAACTTTTTTTATCATAAAAATATTAGTTATTGCATAGAGGACAATAGTGGAAAGTGATATGTGTATTTGTTATTAATCAATTTCATATGACCAAGTACTTATACTTTTAGTTCCCAGCTCTGAAAAATCTATAATTTGTCTAATAGAAGATCATGGACAGAAATTATGAAATGGTACTTTCTAAATGACTTGGTAACCTTTTCACAAATCAATAGGATAGCCCTCAGATTTCAGAAGAATCTTTGGATTGTTTGGCGACTTTTTCAATTCCATTTGTCTCTAATTGGATGTATCTTCCTGGCCACACCTACTTATTCCCATGGGTTCCCATATTATTATGGTGTGAACTGTAGGGGGCTCTGTGGTTCATGGAACAAAGCCCTGGCTGTAACAGGACAGGACTTAATAGAAGCTCTGCCACAATTTTTGTGAGTCTAAAGTGTACCACCTAAGAGACCATTCTTCGTCTGCAAACTGGAAGTAACACCCATTTAGAGATGGATTGATATCACTGTGAAGATTAAATAGCACTACATATGTAAAACGTAGCACAGAGTGTGAGACCCTGAAGGCTCTCAATAAATATTAGTGGATTCTGTATCTGCTTTTGAAAACACTCCATGTGTTCAAAACACTGCAAATCTCGTGAAGAGCAAAAGTGGAATTTTTAACTCTGTTCCTATTAAGGTGCACACTGCCTGCTTCAGATTGATGAATCCACGAGAACCAAATTGTATCTTAGAATATATATATCCAGAATATGTATGTATGTTCTGAGACTGGAACTGTACAATACAAAGTAATACATCAAGAATTTGTTTTAGTGTTGCTTCTTGTAAAGACTAATTTTCAAGGTCCAAAAGTAAAAGCAGGTGAAAGTATTTTTGCTTCTCAGTGAGTAGGCCTCTTGTGAGAGACCACACCCATATACGTAGTAAAAGCAAGCCTAGATCGCTCTGCTCCCTTCAGATTTGGGGGAAAAAATGGGGGGATCTGCAGCATGTTGGGGTGAACAGAGTTATGTGGCTTCGTCTCACAGGCAGGTCAATGCCATAGCACTCTTCCAGCAGCTGCACAACTCCAGCCACAAGGTCTTACTTCACTCCTGGTCAGGAAAAATTACAGT